AAAGAATTTTGAATCAAAATCCATTAAAAATGTTGAAAAAAATGATTGGTCAATATACAAAAAGATGATCTAAATAGAATTAAAATCATGTAAATAACTTAAGTTTTTGAATTAGTAATCCAAACATATAATAATATAGCCAATATACTACAAGAAGTATTTGTGACAGTACATAAAGAATAAAATGTAAAACTTGTAACACAAAAATTTAAACAAAACTCGAAATTGGTTATGAGAAGATAGCTACTTTTGGTAGATTTTATTATTATTATTTTTCTTAAAAGTCTGTAAAAGACTTCAAATACATTTTATGGATCTTTCGAGATAAACTATAACACTTTTTATAATTTTTAATCCTAAAATGTCATTTTTTTTATTGCAATCAATGCCTTAAAATATCTTATTGATAATATAGCGTTCATAAGAAATTGATTTATACAGATAATCAAAGTCACTATAGTGGAATTATAAGCTTCCATGTCTTGTTGGGTAAAAATATTTTTTTTAGTATTTTACCTTAATAAATTTATAAGTTTTAATCTCTCACTTTATATTATAATACTTTTAATCTCTTCTCTATTAGAATTGAAGAAAATTTAATAAAAACCTTCTTTTAACTATTTACCTTAATAAATTTGTAGATTTTAATCTTTTACTTTATTTTATGACACTTTTAACCTCTTACTTATTAAAATTAAAAAAAATAGGTCTCATTTTATGACATTTCGTTAGTTCTTTCCCTTTACCTATTAACTTTGTTATCTAAAAATAGGTTTTTGCTATCTAACAATTAGTTAACAGTTAGCTAATAGAGTTAATAGTCAGTTAATATAGTTAATATTCAACTAATAAAACTAACAAAACATGGTAAAGTTAGAGTCATTTTCTTCAATTCTAATAGGTGAAGGGTTATTTTTTTCAATTCAAATAAGTGAAAGGTTAAAAATATCATATTATAATATAAGATATTAAAACCTACAAATTTATTAACATAAGGCAAAAACCCATCTTAAGCCTCTCAACTTTTTCAACAGCAAGTGATAAGCCCCTGAACTAAAAAAATGGCAAATAAGCCCTCCAACCCCACGATGGGTGCACCCTTCCGCTAACTGACTTCCTGACGCCGTTTGTCATCGGCTTCCGTGGCACTGCACCAGCACGCCTTTGCTTTTTTTTGTTTGCTTTTACTTCATTTGTTTTTAATAATAATATATATTTTAATTAATTAATTTTTTAAATTAATTAATTAATAATATATAATATATATTCTGTATCTTATACAGTGGAGGGTTAGACACTTTAAATGTGTTTTCTTTGATATATTGGGCTGCAGTCCGGTTGGTCATGTTACATTGTTTTAGGATTTTCTCAGGTTAGTGAGCATTTATTAGGATATCAAACACTAATTTTTTTATCAGCAATTAAGGTATATCAAACACTAATTAAGTTTTCTTTCATGGGTTGAGTGACAGTTTTAGTGAGTGTTTTTTACTTTCTATCAAAACTAAAATGCCCTCAGTTACTTTCACTATGCAGACATTGTTTCCCTGCCTCTATCTCCATTTTTTCCACCATGGGTTTTTTTCTGTATCTGACTTCTTCCCTCTCCCATTCCCCACTTTAATAGCTTTCTGGCATATTCTTATTTTTTAACTGACCACAATCAATTTTCAAACTAGCATATGACAAAAAGTGGCAGGATTAACGTGTTCTTGCAAACAAAATGAAAATCTATACTATAGTAATAGGACTAACATGTTTTTATTTCCAAGTCATAATGTAGAATCATTTCAATTAAAATC